AATTGATTTTTTCATATTTTCGCGTTTGTGACGCTGATAGAAAGCGGGTTTACTTTTTTTTTTTTTTTTTTTTTAATGGTACTATTACATTGAATATGTTGAGGTTTAAATGCATTGTACACATCCAGATCATTTAAATGTTTATTTTTAAATCATAAGAAGCCGAACAGAATAAATGCCATCACCAAAAGAAACCGACGTACGTATTCTCAATATTTGATATTGTTTTTTTTTTATGTATAGTTGATCCATATTAAATAAACCTGGTTAAATAAGGAAATGTATTAACAATAAAAAATATATAAATGCTTTTACTCCATGTTTAAATTTGAAGGTCATATCTACTTTGATACAATTTTTAGAAATCCTTCAGGGACTTCTAAATCTAATCTACTGAAACATGACGAATGGTAATTTCCACATTTCGATGTACAATGTTACCAATAATGAGGTGGCTGTGGAAATATGTGTATCTGCCTAGCAGTTCTATAACCGGCATGCACATCTTTCCACAGTTGAGGAGACCAGGGGAGGATGCAGGGAAATGGAGATGTGTGATGAATTAATAATACTTTCATGTGTTTGTAATTACATGATCTAAGCTTGTGCATAAATACCTTTTACAGCAATGGCTTCCTTCCTACTAATTGCGTAGGTAGAAGAAAACATGATTTTAGAGACCAGATGCATCTGGTTTTGATTTACTCTTTATTCCAAGTCAGTATGTTTGTTACCTCAGCATTTTTTTTATTCAAAATACATCTCGCATTTGAGCTGCTAACCATTACTTTGGCACCATAATCTACTTTAATCCAAAGTAGGATAGGCATGAACTGGATTCTGCGAAGACCTAATTATTACCAAATGTCTATAAAGACCTTGATGAGTGACTGTGTTGTGGAAGAAATGGACTGGCATTCATAGATTCCTAACTTCAGCACAGTTTAATACCTTTAGGATAAATTAAAGCGTCGACTGTGAGCCAGACCTTCTCGTCCAACATCAGTGTCTGACCGGTCAGATCTGCTTCTGGAAGAATGGTTGAAACAAATCCACGTGAACACACTCCTAAAGCTTTTGGAAAACATGTCAGAATGTCTGCACGTGTGTCTGTAAAGTTGTTTTTTTTTAGAGTTCGCATCGTATTTGGTGACATTTGTTCTTTGTCTTATTTAAGGAAAAAGAGAAGAAGTACATGTTGCCTCTGGACAACCTGAAGCTCAGAGACGTGGAGAAAGGCTTTATGTCCACAAAGCACATCTTTGCAATCTTCAACACTGAACAGAGGTCGGCACATCAGTTTACCCCAGCGGATGCACATCAATATTATCCTATTGATTTCTGTTCTCTTGCATGGCTTAATGTTGGATATGGCCTACAGGAAAACTTTGTTTTTGTTTGTCTGAACAGAAACGTCTACAAGGATAATCGACAAATAGAGCTGGCCTGTGACTCGCAGGAAGATGTTGACAGCTGGAAGGCGTCCTTCCTCAGGGCCGGGGTTTATCCCGAAAAAGACCAGGTATTAAAGACCGTAAAATAAAAGTACATTAGTACTTTTATTTTTTGTTATGTAAAAGACTAATAATTTGTTTTTAAGACTATTTGTGGTCATTTCTATTCAAATGATGCCTTTTATAATTCCGTGAAATATAGTATTCCAGCCCTCCTTTCTTTTTATAATGGTTTTCTTTGTTTTGTTTTTTTGTTTTTGGCTAAGGTGGAGAATGAAGAGACGGCACCCACAGACACGTTCTCCATGGATCCTCAGTTGGAGCGGCAGGTGGAAACCATCCGCAACCTGGTGGACTCGTACATCGGCATCATCAACAAATCCATCAGAGACCTCGTGCCCAAGACCATCATGCACCTCATGATCAACAATGTGAGCGGAGCCGGCAGAACCTGCCGCAGGCGAAGGGCGTCATGTCTCATAAGTGGCTCAGCCAGTTGGCAAAAGACAAACTCTTATCCTGATCCATTTAATTGAAAAATAATCACACAAACTAAAAAGAAAACTCCAGCTCTGAGAAATTGCCGAAGAAGTTTAGTTTTTCTGATTCAGAGTGGGAAGGAAAGCGGTAAAATGAAACCTTTCGTTCATTCATAATGCTCACATCATAGTAGCTATGGGAGCAAAGGCGTCCCTATTATAACACATCTACAATATAAGAGTTTTTCTCACTATTACTGCTTCCTTAAACATATTCAGTTTCAACTTCTAGTTCCTCATTCCAGATAATTTAATAAATATTTTCTCTTTTGGCTTCTGTTGCTCCTGTGCAAATAAGCTCTCGTCATTGTGACGCTCCTTCCAGGCGAAGGATTTCATCCACTCGGAGCTGCTGGCTTATCTTTACTCATCGGGGGACCAGAACAGCCTGATGGAGGAGTCTGCTGACCAGGCCCAGCGCAGGGACGAAATGCTGCGCATGTATCACGCCCTCAAGGAGGCGCTGCACATCATCGGCGACATCACCACCAACACCATCTCCACGCCGGTTCCACCGCCTGTAAACGACAACTGGCTCCAGGATTCCAGGTAGTTCAGAAATGTTGTTTTTACCAAACAGTTTTTAGTTTTGGCCTCAAATGATTTTACTGTTTTAGCGTTGGCTACGTTTAAAAAAAATTTGCATCCGTTGCAGCCCGACTCCTCAGCGAAGACCACCTCCTTCATCGTCCCAGCCCCCCAACCGTCCTCCCGCTGTTCGGGGCCCGACTCCAGGGCCCCCCATGAACCCCACCCCAGCCTTTAATCCCTCCCCAGCGTTTGGTGCCCCTCCGATCCCCTCCCGCCCCGTCCCTCCCGCCGGTGCCTTCAACAGCAGCCAGGATCCGTTCAGCGCGCCACCACTGATCCCCTCCCGGCCGGCCCGCGTCCCACCCGGCGTTCCTAGGTAAGACTTTGATCAAAGCCACAGTAATCACTAATCTCGTTGCACTTCATTTATAACATTTTATCGCCAGCATCTAATGAGCATGTCTTTGTAAATTTGGAGACATCTAGTATCTTTTCCCCTCCTCCCACCCCACCCCTTTCCTCCTCCTCCTTTTCTTTTATCGCGTTTCTTTGAACTCATTCTTGTCTTTTTATTGTTGGTTTCCTCTTCCTCTCTGCCTCTTGTTTCTTCTCTCTCTTTGGGTTGTTTGGTTTCATCGCTGTCTCTTTGTGAGCACGTCTCACACCTTGTCTGTATCTTCTCTCCCTGTTGCAGCCGAAGACCCCCTGGTGCCCCGTCTCACCGGCCCACCATTATTCGTCCTGCAGAGCCTTCCCTGCTAGACTAGACCTGTGGCCAAGCCCACCTTAGCATGCTTTTTTTTTTTTTTTTGTTCCTGGATGTGTGTCTGCACACTGTGTTGGCCTGGAATGGAGGGGGTCAACGGGAGGGGATGACTTAGTGATGTGTTAGATTACAAGCAATGTTAATAAGCTGCTAATACTTTTTATTTACACGCACAAGAAGCAAAAAAAAAAAAAAAAAAAAAAAAAAAAAAATTATCACTTAGATTTTCCATTTGCCTGGCATGTCTTGCAAACTAAAAACCTTTTATCAAACATTTCAAATTCATTTAACATTTTCTTTTAAATGTTCTGTTTTTTTATTCAACTGGTAGTCTCATATAATCTGGTACAGGGCGTCTCCCCTCCTCTCTTCCTCCACTCCCTCCATTTTTAGCCCCAGACACTCTGTGTATAGAATACATTATTGTTGATGTTTCACTGGGTTTTTTTCACATCCCGACTCATTTCATACTGAAAACAGTTACTTAACATGATGTCTACGGTGGTGTAGGTTATAAATAATTTGTTCTTGTGTTGTTTCCATTTGAGTGACTGTCTTTCCTGATGAGCATTATAAATGTAGCTTTAAAATTAAGTTCAGTCGACTCACAAAACACACAAAGACGAGATGCAAGAGGTTCATAGTCGTTCCGCCTCCGTTTCATCATGTAGAAAAGATTATTTTTGCTTTAGTCCAAGCACTTCTAGCCACTGAGCCTTTGCAGGAAACCACTCGTAACACGGATGCTGTAGTCTGGACCCCCCACACCTCCAGGAGAGGGAGACAGACTGAAGCCTGTCTGCTCTTTCAGAAATGTTAGTTTGATTAATAATCCTTCTTTTCTCTTCTTAATCCCGTTGAGATTTTGGTGAGGTTGAGTCTAATTCCTAGATTAGCTGACTCAAAAAGAGCAGATTTCTCTGAAAGAGGATTGGATTCAGAGGTGCAGGGTGTTGAGATGAGAATCTGGATCACAGAGCAGGAAGATGTCTAGTTTCTCCTTAAGAAAATGCATTTAGTATTATTATTATTACTACAGTTATCGGTTCTGCTTTCAGACGTCAGGTATATTGTAAATAGCTGCCCTTTACAGAAGAGATGTCTCGTCTCATTTTCTCACAGGGTTCATATAAATAAATAAATATTAAGCATAACCATCCCAGGAAATGTAAACATCAGTCTTTACAGTAAAAAAAAAAAAAGGACTAACTGGCATTTCATTGAATTTTTTTTTTAACCTCATTGTTCGAAAAATAATTTTTCAGCTCCTATTATTTATAACCTGGGCATTTGTTCTTTTACTTGGTTTTTGGACACACTTCTAGTAGCTCGATTCAGCTTCCATCTTACCCAATTCCTTAACTTTTGCTCCATTTGTTTCACTTCTGCTGCGGCGACGGGTTTCAGGATTTGTTGGGAGTGTTACCGGGTCGTTACATACACAGCTGTGATTATATGCTGAGAAATGTCAGATTGCTTTTTAAGGGTTTGTTCTTTTTATATATATATATAATTTAAATCTGTTTTTTTTTCTTTGTTGATCTTCAGGTGTGGGCTGGGGAATGGTATAAGTTGGGAGTGATAATGGGCCACTTAGATTTTCTTCTCTTTTTGATCATTTGTGGTGGTGAGTTGGTGGTGGGGGTTTCGGTAAATAAGTGCAGGAGCTGCCAAGAACACGGAGAAAAAAACAATTACACAACCACTAAGAGATTGAAGAAAATCTTTTTTTTTATAAATCCCAAATTACTGTCTTAAAACAGGATGTTTACTTTGTGCCTGTTTTCTTTTCTCCTGGCCTTGCTTTCAGTGACAGAGCCTGAAAACCTCAAACAAAATCGGCATCGAATCCTAAGAATAATTACCATGATAGAATAAAATAAAAAAATACTAGGCTCCCACATGCCTGTCACTCCAGCTTGTCCATGAGAAGACTGTAAAATCTACATGAACATGTAGGAATACTGTCTGTGTGTATCATCCATCCGTATTTCCCTCCCCTCTCTGAATCAACAGGAAGGGGTTGGAAACCATCCCTCAAACATCTTTCTTTTTTGTTTTGCAAACCCTTATGAAGTGCCTCTGTAGCAGTTAATGGATTTTTAATGAACATCATGACCTGATTTAGAAAGAAAAGTAAATAAAGAGGTGTGTACAATAAAGGGACTGGTTTTGGTGGTTGGTGTCTTCTTGTGTCCTGTGTGATCTGCTGTTTCTGTCACGTATATAGAATCCTTTTTAGTTTTCTGCTCCTCTTCATAAACCTCACAGATACTCTTCTCATTTCGGTTTCTTCTTTTGTTCCTACAAGTAGGTTAGTGATCTTTACCTCCACACTTGTTCTGTCATGCACAAATATTTGCATCAACACAATAAAAGTCATATTAAATATGTTCCTTTAGGTCACATCCGATCGTTTATTTGGTTTTGTTTCCATACATGCAGATTCACTCCAAAACTGCATCGCTGTAGGAAAGAGAATAAAGGAAGAACAAGCAGCAAACGGTCTGCTTTTCTCCGTAAACTCAAACATTTTTTTATAGAAGCTGAAAAATTATTGATTCCATTCAATCCCACAGTAGTATTTGGAAAACGTTATGGATATTCTTGTAAATATCCTAGCTTCACCTAGGTATGTTTTAATGGCCAAACTAAGGCTTTGAATTAACCAACAAACAGTTTTCCTTTTTCTATATCACTTTTCATTTTAAAACATTTCAGGCTATTTTCATTAAGGCCGTTTGGTTTCTGGACATTTTTCAATGTTTTGTCCTCCAATCAAACTTGCAATTCTGACTTTGCTCAGATTTCGATGGAGGAATGCTACGATCGGCATGCGCATGTGTTGCCTTCGTCCTTCAATAAGAACCATCTGCGTTTTCTTTTTTTTTTTCCCCAGAAAGAATGACCTCAATGTAAACTCCATTTTGCCTTTTTTTTTTAACACACCCCTTTAAACACTGATTTAGTTACCCATAATGCAGCAGTCATGTCCTGACTGGTGGATTTTGCCACCTCCTACTAAGTTTGTTGCAGTATAGCAACGTATTTTCAGTTATTGGTCTGTTTTTTTTAACAGAATGTAAGGGGGGGAAAAAAATATATTTCACTTTGATCCATGGCCATTTTTAGGGCAAGTATCAGTATTTGATTCATGTTCCCTGAATTTTCCAACTGTACCCCCCCCCATCCCCCCCTCAAAATGTAAAACTGTCCCCCGTTCTCTTTGAGTTATTGTGTAAATATCGGGTCGATGTTTGCTTCTTTGCGGATGACCTGCAAAACCTTTTTTTTTTTTACTGCATCTCACACGGTCAACACACTAACGTAGGCTGATTGTTCCTGAACAGGCGCCCCCCGCCGGCTCCCCGTGGAAAACACTGGTGACCCCAAACCAGCAGATGTTGAACATGAACTTGAAGAATTTTGGCAAAGGAGACACAGAGGAGCTGCATGATTTATGTCCTTTAGGTCCGAAACATCGAGCCGCATCACAAGGAGCCGTGTTTTGACATTTTGAGCTGCTGGAGCCGCTTCAGGGGCAATAAACTGTAACAAAGGTATTTTACCATTTAGTTCATGTTGGGAGTAGCCCTGAATATTGTATAGCAATTGAACATGTCATAACCTTTACTGAAACTTTGACATCTGCAGGAAGATATGGTTATTGAACCTTTATTAGCAGGTAATGGTAAAACCAAGAGGTGAACAAAAGGCCATTTTTTTATACCGTTTGTTTTTTTTCTAAAGCCAAAACAATCTTGTCCTAGAAAGTGGCTGTTACATTTGAAAATAATTATCAGGACCCTGGTTAGTTAAAGACATAAAACAAAAGAGAGTGATGTATTTACACAAGGTAGCCATCTTTGTGAAGATTTAACTTCCCAGTGTTTTGTTTTGATGTTTGTTAGATTTTTTTTTTTTTTTTACTAAGCTATGATCCAATCAGGGTAATATTTGGAAATGATTTCTCTGAAGGTTTGAAATATCAGTAAGACTGTTAATTGTATTTAATAAAATAACATTGGTGCACATTATGGCTTTCTAGATTCACTTGACAATATTCACAAATATCAATACATTGGGGCTTTTACGATTGAATTTTATTGTCTGTAAGTATATATGATCATCAGTTTATCTCAGCACTTCAAATTCATAAATTTATTATAAGTTTTACTTTCTCTTTAGTGTGATTATTATGACTTAAAGCGATTGTGTAACCTGCACACTCATTTCAGAGAGACTGATGACTCCACAAGTGGTTGTTGTTGTATCCAAACCTATTAATGGAAAAAATGAGTGGAAGGAAGAAGTGCGGTTAAAAGAAACATTCATGAATTTGTGGGAGGCCGAGTCATCAGCTCTAAGCTTCAAATATCACCACCCTGACTTATTTATGACACGAGTTTCAGCTTTTTGGTTTTTATTATTACTTGTGAACCGGTGATGATGTCAGAGGCTTAAGGTGAAAACCAACTGGGCTGTTATGATACACATTTAATTTCACATTTCTTCTGAAAATTGCAGTCCCACAGCGGAGGAAAATTTGAGAGAATCAAAGCTGTTGATGATTTAGGAAGTGATGTCACCTGCTGCTGTTGGTCCACTGAGTTTTCTCATGTCCGCACAGTAATCCATCAGTACGTTTTACAGTTCATTCTTTCCCCATCTTCTACCTCCAGGGAGATACTTATTTTATTTGGCACCTGATTAAAGTATCAGGCCTCCTTTAACGTTTATGTCATCACTATGTTTCCTTGGTCAGCAAGCTAAAACGGGCCATCTAAAATGAAGATGGCTAAGAGATTTGGCATTAAAAAAAATAAAATCAAACCTTGAAAAATTAAAACAATAAAAAACACTGGCACCATTTTAGCTCCATTGGAAGCTGGCCTGACAAACCCCCTCACAAAATCCTTGGAGAATAAAGGCTGATCACTTCCATGCAACATGGCAGCGACTCACGAAAAAGAACCTCAACTAAGCATCGAGTCTGAACTCAATGAGGCGGTCAGACTCTTACATAGGCTGATATTTCTGTATTTTGTTAAGCCTGAGCCACACTAATTTGTGAGCCACAAATTAGTTAGTGTGGCTCACTAACTAATTTGGTTAGTGAGCCACACTAACCAAATTAACAGAAATGATTTGCTCAAAATGCAGCATAGACCTTCCTAAAATACGAGTTTCACTTTGGTGACTGAATTTCTCAAATTATTGGCGTCTCTAAATCATGGATCTGTAGATTAATAGCATGATGCAATGGAATATCGATACAAGATTTACAAAATAAAAAGTTTAAAAAAGTTCTCTTTGTCATATTATCCTGTGAGGGATAAAAGTATTGTGCTGGTTCTGTCAAGTGCAGACCCGCTTGGTGTTATCAAAGAGACGTCTCAGGGTGTAAGTCTGAGTGACGGCCACACCGAGCATCACCAACAGGTTCAGACAGGACCAGAAGGACACTCGCCACAGGTTGTCCTCTAACAAGTAGCGGTCCCTGGCCTCAAATGCCCGCAGCACGGTCTGGACCTGACGGGTCTTCTCCAGGTGCCGGTACACTGAGTCCATTGTTCTCTGAAACAGAAAGATGAAAAGACAGGCGGCGTCAGTGGGGGGCAGCAACTTGTAAAGACACAAGGAGTTTCCCCTTCTGACCCTGATTTCTTCTATTCTGTAGTCCTCCATGCTTTCAGTCACGGTGAAGTCCATCCACTCCTCTTGGCCTCCAGATGTGTTGCCTTCGCTGTTAATTATGACTTTGAAAAACACCATCTTCTCAGACATCTTGCTGAAGCTGTTGTCGAAGCATAACCGGTAATCTCCAAATTCTGTATAATCCAACCTGACAGAAAAGACACAATGTGTGACAACAATGAGACGTTGGTAACCTCGGTTTTAGCTTCAGATCAGCAGGAAAGCATCAGGAAACACCCACATATGGATGCCGTCAGATGTCCTGAACTCAGAGACCACCCGATGACCGCTGGGTGAGATCAAGGCAAACCCAACATCCAGACCGGATCCTGCGATAACCTTCAAAAAAAAAACAAAAAAAAGTCACATATCCAGAGTCATCCTCACATTCTAACCCATGCATCTGCTCAAGCTCGCCTCATGGTATCTTTGGAACTGCCACCTGAAATTCAAATGAACGGCGTGATAACAAACCAAATAACACAAAGCGGCCGAAGCTTTCTCAGGTTATAAAGTATCAGGTTTCAGTCTGACGAAAACCGGTGGTCATGTTAGTTTCCCATGATGATTCATGACTTTGGAGGCTCACGTAGATGCTCAACCAACCCGCTTCTACCCCAGAGAGTCTGCAGCCTCCAGAGGGTGCAGCATCAACATGCTAACTGCGATGTCATTTTTTTAATCCGTGTTTTAAACCATCAAGAAAAACAATTCAGGGTTAAACAGTCAAACTCAGTCTTTCTCGCTTTATCAGAGAGAATAGTGTGCATCTAGGCTGTCCTGATTTTCTGAATCGAAATAGTTGGGCTTCTTCTCTGAGTTTGGTTGTACATTAAGGATTCTTAGCTAGATGTTAGACTAGATTAATCAGCCACATTGCCAGAGGTCCTAATGTTCTGCTAACCTCTAACAATGAGAAATGTGTTTTCTGTCCTGCCCCATTATTGTGCATGTGCCTTTAAAACTTTCAGCGGTTTTCTTATCTCTCTGATAACAAGGCCAAAGTCCAAACTGCTCACTCGACTGCTTGCAAACTTTTAAAACAACCAGCTAAAAAGATATCCCAAGCAAAACAGTTAAATAGCAGCAAAAAGGTGCACCAAAGTTCCTCTTCATGTTGTTTTTACCTGGTATTCTATCTCCATGGAGTCACCTGTCGTGGTAGTTTGGTAAAAACACTCTGTGCCGCCTGTGGGTAGCATAAATGTAAACTCCATGTTTTGGTTTGGCCCCATATCCAAAGCCAGCCCCACAGTCAAAGTCAGACATCCCACCAGATAGAGCTGGGCAGACGAAGTCATCGCTGAACGGTCCAGGAAATAAAGTGGCTCCACTTCTACCAGAACCTGGGTAATTTCTCCTGTGCACAATAAGCCAAACGCACTGGATGTGTGTAATTACTTCCTGTCATACTCCGGTGGTTGAACAATAGTCTGTCAGACAGAGCTTGCGTCCTGAGTCAAAGCTGAGTCAGTGGAGCCACTATCTGTGGATCAGAAGTGCTCTGCGGTCTGGACTTCACACTTTTATTGCACCTGCAGTGCAATAAAAGCCATGAAAACAGCATGTTGATTTAGTTTATCCTCTATTTATAGATTATTATTTGTATCAGTTTCGTTTTGCAGCAGAGATGAAAAACTGTGTGCAATAATACACACGTTTCAGGAGGGGACGATTACGCCATGACCTGACCAAACGAGGTCAGAGGTAAACGGTTAGGCGCTTAGAGGTCGTTGTGAGTTGTCAGGGTTAAACCCAGGCTTTATTTTTAGCTGTGATGACACATCTATTAATGAATCAAGCACTGACGCCTGTCGGAATAATATTTATGGTATACAAAAAAAACAAGTAATTATTTTTTTATTAATTTTTTTTTTTTTTTTTTTTTGCAGTGTTCTCATTTGCGTTTTAGTAAACAGCGACCACTTCAGAAAGTTTTGAAAGGGGTCATTCGTGGGCAATGCATAGCTCTGGGTTTATGCACCAAATAAAAAAATTCAAAAAAAACATAGAACTTCATGAGTTTTATTCACGTTATTTGATACTTGAATTTGTAATTTAAGTGCTGTGTGGAAAGAAACAAGATTCTCTATAAAAACAACCAAACAACAGAGTAATTTATAAGTTTATATTTCAAGTATATTTCAAACAAATTGCAAGTCAAACATGTTTTTTATGCCCCACAACATTCCAGGATTGTAAAAAAAAAACTCTTACCTTCATTTTTAACTGAAGAGCAGTTCCCGACAAATCATATCCTCTGACTTTAGGAGGCGCTGTTAGTTCTGCACATCTGAACTGTACAGGCCCACATATTTCTTTCAGCACACAGCACACACAAATGAACATAAACTCATAAATTAAATAAATGTTCAAAACTCCCTATGAGTTTTGACAAGGATAAGTGAAAGTGAAACCAAGTATTTACTGATACTGTATGAAAGGACGTTTATTTTCTTGATGTCTGATTTTAATTCTGGATGTTTAAAATAATTTGTCTTTGCTAAACGAAAGAAAAAACAAATAGCTTTCATAAAATTCAAAACTTAAATACATATCTGAAACTTCTGTTTTGGGTAGTTAGTAATTTTGGTAAATAGTTTTTCAGCACATCTGGTATGCCTGAGTCATGCTTAGATCCAATAAGCTTCATCAAACCACAGGACATGTTGTCAAAACAAAGTCTTTGCCGCTCAGTGCATTTGGAAACTGAAATTTGGCTTTGTATGTTGCTTTTGAAGTAATGGCTTCTTCCTCTCTGGGTGACCTTTCAGCCTCAGACTTGTTTCACTTTGGATAATGACAGTTTTCACTAGCCTCAGCCAAAAATCTCCTTAAGCTTCTATCTTTTTGTTTTGTTTATCGGATTTCTAACCGCCTTCCTAACCACCATGGTTTGGAAGGAGACTGTTACATATATAACAGATGAATGTGTCTCCGCCAGCCTTGTGGAAATTGTACCCCAATGATGAATCAGACTCGCAAACATTAACACTTTCTCTTCCTGGTATCTTAGCTGAGATACCACAATAACAATAGAAATACTCCATATTGTTTATTCCAGCAGTTTACTGGAAATCTGTTGCAGTGAGAAGCTTGTGGAAGGAAACCCAAAAGGTTTTATTAAGAAAATGTATGTACATAAAAAAAAAATAAAATAAAATCTTAAAAGATTTATGACATTTAGGAAACAGGAATAATTTGGGAAGAAAATGTTTTTATTGGGTGTAAGTATTTGGTTTCAGCAGCATTCACGGGCTGTCATGAATCAGTTGTTTTGGAGGAAGTGAATATCAGATTACACCTGCAGACCTTTAACTAAAGCCACATGCGGCATCCAGACTTGTCTAAGTTCGTTTTGATGTGTTCTCTCTTAAATATGTAGGGTGCATCGCCACAGCGCAGTCAAAACTGGTGATCTGTCTGCTGATCTATATACTCTTTACAGAGACTTGAAAAATGTTCTACGTCTAGGACACATCTTACCAAGCTACAGGTTTCTTTTGGCAAACTAAGAAATTATAAATGATATTTATTTATTCATTTTTACAGAAAAAGATGTCCCTCCCCCCTCAAAAAAAAAGAAAAGAAAAGAAACACGGTGTGCATTTTGTCCTATTTACTCTGAAATCTCTAAACAGAAAATCCTTTGCAAACATGAGGACATCTGCGCAAATCATTTAAATGTGTCCACACATCCTTTTATGAGGAAGTGGTCAGCAACCAACAAGCAGCTCAAAAGAAAATGTTGTGGACGTGTTCGTGGTGTAAAAGAGAGAACCTCTTGAAAACATGAACCTCACTGGTCTGGATGGTGATATAAAACCTTTGGAATGAATTTGGTTCTCTGGTCCAACATCAGTGTTAGACCTCATAAATGTTCTCTTGGTGGAATGTACAAATATTTCCATGTGAACACCCCTAGATCTGACTTCAAGCTCATAAGGATAACTGATCTAATACTTTAGGCAGTGCAGCATTTTGGCCGCACTGAAAAGAAGTCTATTTGAAGGAATTAAGAAGAAAGTTTCTATCCGTATTGAGAGTCTGTATTGCAGAAGTGATATAATAAAACGGAAAAGTGCCAATAAACTTTTAACCCTGCCTCACATAAACTTGATGAGGAACACAAGGAAACCCACACAGAAGACAGGAAACTAAAGTAGATGTTAAATAGACACGTTCTACGCTGCAGACCATTCAGGAACCATTTGAGGTCAGAAAAAAAGACCATTGTGCAACAAGTTGTTCAATGGGATCAGTAAAGGCTATTCAACTGGACTAGAAGGTCACAAAATCTACAAAATAAGAACAAAGTTCAGGAGTAAAGGGTCAGTTTGACAATTTCTAACTATATTACATCAAACCTTTAACATAGTCACTGATTGTTTTACCTTAAAAACAAAACATTTTAATCTTGCTTTTTGCTTGGACAAATTGTAAAACCGGACTAGGGCCGTTTCCCCTTGAATAGAATATTGCGGCTTTCAAAACATACAGAAATGTTTTTGTGGTCATACCAAAACTGTGCGACTGGACTTTATTTCCTCTGAACAATGATGAGAATGAGAAGAGGCTAAAAGATTGACTCTGGGCACAAATGTTGCTGCTAAAGCATGAAGACAAGCCGCAAAGAGAGAGTACAGATGAGAGGAAGTGTGAACGACATAGCTTTTGCAGTCAAGTGGGAGGGTGTGAAACGGGGTTAAAATGCACATTGTCTGAGCTCCACTTCACTTACATGGTCGTCTAACTTCAGCCTTTATATTCTAAACTGAGAAACGACCTTTATGTAAAGTTTCATTTTGATGAGTTCAGAAAAAGTGGAGCTTTTGCCAGTTTTCACAGGTGCTGTGGTGATACATCTTAAGATTCATGTTGCTGTCTGTTTCTGACTACTCATGAGACATCTTCAGTTGGACCAACCAGAAGTGAGCCCACCCATTTTTTTTTTTTTTGCAATCTTGTTGCACCTCGCCGCCTTTCCACTGTAGTTTGGTCTCTTCAGCCCCTTGGAAACGGCAGCTCTGACCACCGGAGGATCATTCCTGTCTGAGATGTTTTTCAACTTCAAAAGTGGCGTGGGGCGTATGGCTCACGACGGCGTTCCCTCTGCGTTTGTAGTGGACACCCATGCCACCCGGCCGGCCGTGCCGCCTCGCCTGGGCAAACAGAAGAAGCACGGCGGGGCGGCGCAGACTCTGCTGTTCATCCTGGTGGCCCTGGCACTGCTCGGCGTGTTCTTTGAAGCTGTCTTCATCTATCGCCTCTACCAATCTGAATATGTGAGTGTCACGTAAAGACCTGTGTAATATCAGTCTGTGATTTGTGTGTGCGTGTGTCTTTGTGTGTGTATGTGTGTGTGTGTGATTCACTGTACATTTTCTGTTCCATTACCTTTACCTTTTCACCCCACTGCTGGTAGAATCTCACTTTCATGATAAGAATTTAATCATCTTTACTACCAATTCTCGCTTTCAGTATTATTTTCATGTTTCATGTTTTTCTCCCACTTTTTTCATTTTCTCAGCTATTTTACTTTTTTTTTTTATAGATATATTTAGTTTTCCATGAATCATGAGTACATCACGAGTCTATATTTAAACTTGTTAAAGTATGCTTACTATAAATGTTGGAAATAAACTGAATAATTAGACTCTGTGAAGGAAAAGACTCAGTGAGGTGGACTGATAAATCTAGATCACAAACTTAGTGTAAATGTGGATTCAAATTCAAAGCATAATCAAAAGATATGGTTATATTTAACAGTTTTTTTTTTCATCCACATGTTAATAAGAGCTGATTGATATTTGAGAGAAAATTCATCTGCTTTTCCACCTAACTGGATTTCCAACGTGGAAACTTCAGTTTTCTGCTTTCCACGACCTTAACGTTTCCTTTTCTTAACGTCTCCCTTCATAACGTTCATGTGTGGGGCTCTTGAGACTGAGACGTGAGTAAAAATGAAGGTCTCTTGTGACAGAAACCACACTCACATTTACTCAGATCATGTGCATGAAAGTTCCCCCCCTCACCCCCTCCACATCCCACTCCAATAAGTGCTGAGCTTGCATTTATTTTACGGTAAAGAGGAACAGAGTGGACCACAGATGGAGAAATCCGCCGGTTTATACAGAACTCCTCTGACGTCTTTTGGAGTCGGCCACACATACATACGCTCTTTGCCCTCAGACTGCGGACAGTGAAGACTCTGTGTATGGCTTCCTATGAAATGTCTGAGGGCAGCAGCAGTCACGGGTTTTGGATTTAGGAGAAATATTAATTCACTTTCTGTGGGTCTGCACATCATACATGCTGCAAAAATTAGAGATGGCATAGACAAGGAAATGGTCTATTTCCTGCGTCGTGATTATGATCTACCTTAGATGCATCGTGTACAAGCCTTACCCAAAACCCCTACAATGACTGCTTAACACAAAGCAAATGCTAGCATATGCTTAAAAAAAAAAAAAAACAGGTTATGATTCATTGAACTGCCTTAGATTTAACACCTTCCACATCCCAGTGCAGCCTCATGTGCACCAGCGGTCATGCAACTGTGTTTGATTGCATGCCAAGAAAGCATGCATGCACGCAGATCAAAGCTAAACCGCCTGAATGTCCTTTGGTGTTTATCGTTGCAGGCCCCCTCAGGTTCCGCCTCAATGCAAATCGACGGTATGTCTCAGC